ACAATATTGCTGCTTTTGCTGTATTTTGAAACAAATAAATGCAGGCTTGGTGAGCAGAAGAGAATTCTTTAAAAAACATTAAAACTCACTGTTCAAAAACGTTTGACTATTGTATATATATATATATATATATATGATAGACAAGGGCAAACAGGCACTAACGCCAGCGCTAACCACAACTGAGTGCAGGGATAAAGAGTGTGAATATATATTATATATATAGAAGTGGTGGTGGGCCGCCTGGACCAAAAAATGCCAGGGCCGATTTTTTTGTCCCAGTCCAGCCCTGCAATGAACCCACGATAAAGAAAATTTCTTTGGATATTTGATACAGTTTTTAGAATTCTATGTGAATGTTGCACAAGCTCTCAATTTAATTCAATTCTGATTGGTTTCTGATTCATTTGGGTATCTTGCAGTTATAATGTGCATTTTATTTACATCTGTAAGAAATTCTTTACTGCTGATGCTGGAAATAATACAGGTCATTGTTTCAAACTGATTAAAAACTATTCATTACATGAACTTGTTTATAAGAGTCATTCATTTTGAACCAGACCTCACTGGTCGCACTGTATGTTCTTGATTCACTAAAAAGAAGTGACTCATTATCAGTTTGTAAATCAGACTACACTGGTCACGTAGTATGTTGTTGCGTTCAGCCCGTGTGGACAATTGTGTTAATTGTACAATTGTGGACAGCCTGTTGAATTCAAACTTACATTAATGATTTTAATTTCTGGCCTTCCTTGGTTGTACAGAATAGAGCAGCTTGGACATTCAACTAAATATCTTCTTTTATGTTCTATGGAAAATGAAAGTCAGTGTGGAACATGATCCACTAATCCACTAAATTGAGACTATCAAGTTCATGACTATCCAGAGCTGAGTGAATATGGAGCCAACAAACCAGACAGAGGAGCTACAGCATCATAAAAACCTTCAAGGTTGTGATGTTAATCATAAAACTAACTGGATGGCATTCTGTCTAGAGGGGCTGAACACTCATCATGTCCTATTCCTTTTTATGCCATTTGGCCTCTATTTTAAAGAGGGCAGATCTGTGGCCATTTTCCCTATGAGTAGACATGACCTACTACAGCAATCTGGCAACCCTTGACATTCCCACATCAAACTGGCAACCACATACCACTATTCAGACCAACTGGCTACTGACCCCCGGCGGGTCACTGATTTCCCAGCATGCAATGGGCCAGGGAGGTAAACTCAGCCAGCATGGGATGTGATAACATGCTGCCTTATGTTTGTGCATGTGTCTCACTGAATCAGGTTTTATCTGCGTTTCCTAAGATCGCATGGCACTTTTAGAAGTATATGGTAAACCACAGCAAGAGCAGATCCCTGCTTTCTCATTCCTCCCTGCCACTTTTGTTTCACTTCTCACCATCTTGTTGCAGCCACAATGGTCGGTTGGCTTTCCATCACCAGGCGCAAGACTAAAATACGAGGTCCAATTAAACTGGACATATCAGCCCCATGAATCTCTAATGCCGTAAAAGCATTCTGAGATCTGACATCTGCTGAACCACTAAGAGTAGAACAAGAGAAAGAAAGTGACAAGAATAGAGCGAGGCAAGAAATGCTCGAAAGAGCCTTGTCCTATAAGTGCTTTGAAGACCAGATATTAATTTTAGCTTCACTTTCAAACAAATAGAAAGAGAAAACTGAAAATAACCCGGACCACAAAAGTTACTTATATTACTTCTGTCCCGCCAGGCTTCATTGTGTGCCATCGTGGATATTGTACAAATCTTTGCGGGAAACCCTCTAGTGTCCGTACTAGTGCAGTCATTGCAGTCATTGACTGGGGAGAAGTCGTGGCCTAATGGTTAGAGAGTCGGACTCGTAACCCAAAGGTTGTGGGTTCGAGTCTCGTACCGGCAGGGATTGTAGGGGGGGGTAGTGAATGTACAGCACTCTCTCCCACCTTCAATACCACGACTGAGGTGCCCTTGAGCAAAGCACCGAACCCCCAACTGCTCCCCGGGTGCCGCAGCATAAATGGCTGCCCACTGCTCTGGGTGTGTGTTCACGGTGTGTGTGTGTTCACTGCTGTGTGTGTGCACTTTGGATGGGTTAAATGCAGAGCACTAATTCCAAGTATGGGTCACCATACTTGGCCACATGTCAAGTCACTTTTTTTTTTGACTGCAGCAGACTGAATTCCCAGAGCTGCATGTCAAACACAGACTTGCGACAAGTGTTAAAACCTTTGGTTCCCCCATCCACAAATCCTACAACACTCACCTTATCTTTACAAGAAACCAGAATGAGAGATCCACAATCACTGTTGGATCCAATCACCCGCACACATGGTTCCCAAAAAGTCTTGTAACAGTCTCTGAACAACCATATTAAGATGAAAACTTCCTCATATACACCCTTAAAAATAAACGTTCTTTATTGGCATCTATGGTTCCATAAAGAACATCCACAGAACCTTTCCATTGCACAAAAGGTTCTCTATAGTAGAAAAGTTTTTTTTTTTTTAGAATATTGAAATGTTCTTCACCCTAAGAAAAAAATGGTTCTTTTAGGAACTGTTCACTCAAACTTTGGGGAACCCAAAATGGTTATTCAATGTGAAAACTCCCTATTGGAACCTTTATTTTTAAGAATGTACTGACTGATAAACTCGTGTAAGAGTTTTCGCAGGAATGAAACATTTTTAAACCAATGTTCTGTCCACAGTCTATCAGCTCTGCCTACTGCTACACCTCCTCCCACGTTCTTTCACCGGCTCAGATGCTAATAAACAGCGTAGCCTTGAGGTCTGAGAGAGGAGGGGTGGGGGGAAGATTTGAATACACCAATGACAATCATCTCTCAAACAAAAGCAAGCGGATAAGGATGGCAATGGACACAGAAAGAGAGGAAGGGAGGGAAGGAAACGAGAGAAGATGGAAGAATGGAGGCTGAAAAGCTCCGTTTCAGTGAGATTTTTGTTTGCATGCTTCCCAGAATGTGGAACTGGTGGACAATGGAGACCGTCTCGCCCGTTTACTCAACACATCTTCACTGTTTAACACACTTGAGCCAGCGCTGTCGTGATCACTGCATGTGCGTCTGTAACCGCTGTGCTCACACAGTTTAGAATAAGGTCAGCTTGGCCTCCGCCTCCGTCATCGTAGCAGCCTAACATTTTCGAACCCCCTCCTCCTAAACACACACACCACTTGATGCATTCAGCCAGAGACGCCGCTACAGTAGGCCCCCATAACCCCGGCTTTCAATGAAAACACAGTGTCACTATGGCAACGGGTTCAAGCATTTTTTTGACCCGTGTTCACTAGGAGGGTATTATAACACAATCAGTAGCTTCTATTGTGCAGATCTCTGCTCCCTGTAGCCTACATTTCGGTCTGGAACTAGAAAGATGAACTGGTGCAAGTTTTACAATCATAAAACTAGCTTAAACCCGTTTCCTGTCTACATAGCTCTCAATTTCAAAAGCAACAATGAGGTTATAAAAATAAAGCTTTTTTTATTAGTGTGTTTGAAGTTGGTCTAATTGTTTTTAATACGCGTGCAATGAAAATGAGTCTGCAGGGGCCACTGAGTCGAGCATACAAAACAATACCTTGACCCTTAAAATATTTTGCAACTGCTGTGTATAAAGGCAAAAGCTCCCAGGACACTGAACTAAACGGATGCGAAGGGAAGGGGAGGAAAAAAGAAAGCACAAGGCCTGTTTATACTGTTTGCTTAAGCGAGGCAATCATGACCCCTTCTGCCGCTGCTCTGTTCATAAATAAAACAAATCCTTTGTTTCGTTATTCTAGTTTTCCTCCTGAAGTGCAGTCGATGTACTGTGAAATGGGCCCAGGCAGAAGAGGTCCAGAACATGAATAAGTTAAAGGAATGAATTGTTTTTTAGTTACACAAAGAACTGCATCCTATGATGTCACAAACCTTCGACACATCATATCCTCCTAATGCATAATGTCTTTAGATAGATAGATAGATAGATAGATGCTTACCATAAATGTATGCATACTGCCTTGTTAAACATAAAAAATAAATGCATATTTTACATTGTGTGTGCTCGGTTAGACACTCAAGCGGAGTTTTTCATGACACTCGCACCAGCCCGGCTCTCTTGCTGTCAGGTGTAATGCATATGCGAGGCGTGACACGGCCACTGAATAATTAAACTGCAAAGACAATGAAGAGCCCCTGAATCTACGATCAAAAGGAGCTACAGTGCACGAGGCGAGGCGCGCAGAGAAATATGACGAAACAATAAGGTGTGACGTCAGCCTATGATATGAACAGCTCTGTGATCTGCCGGTAAATTAATGACTGATTAAATTAATTAATTAATTAAAATTCAACAAAATGACACTCTGAAAGAGTAATTTTAATCTTTAAAAGAAAACGGTAAAATAATACCAAGTTGAAACCCACATTTAAAAAAAATAGTAAGAAACACCCTGTTGCTTGCTTTTGTTGCGTGATAGACTGATTTACATTCATTTACGTCCCTTCATCTGGAAATAATAGGGTATGACGCCAAGGGCGTGAGGAACCGAAAGAAATGTGGTACGAGGAACAGAGAGCACTGAAGGACGACTGGATAATGTCCGTAGTTTCGCAAACAAACACACCGGTCAACACGTAAGAGGGGAAAAAGCACTTCCAATGCCACACCTTGAGAAACATGGCGCTTATCGAAACCAAACTCATACAATCTCCAGGGACAAGAAACGAGACGAAAGGTCAAACTGGCAAAGTTATTTCCCCTCATACAATGAAACACTGGGCGAGTTAATACAATTATTTTAAGATGAATATAGCCATCATTGATGTAGTCAGATAGCGCGCACGATTAAGATACCCTGAAGGATATTTCTATCACGAGCGCTTTGTTGAGTCTACATATTAAAAGTAGCCTACAAGTAAAAGACAACCATGTATTTTATAACCGTAAACAATTTGTGATTCCTTTCACTATTTAAACATCATATGATTTGTCTTACCTTGAATAATTAGGAGAATGAGTGCGCTTAACAGTCCTGACATGTTCATCGGAGGGAAGGGTGGACAGTCCACCTTTAATAATTTGTCGGTTTTCCGCTTGTTGAGCTCAGTCGCAAAAAATATACCAAAATAGTCAGGTGGAGATAAAAACTGTTGTGTGGTTCCTCTGGTTTCCTTTAATGGACGAGCACAGAAACTTAATGTTGAAGTGCGTCGCTGTATTCAGCGCGTTCCTTTTCAGTTGGTTTACAATCAGGTGTCAAAACTCCCTTTTGAATCGTATGAACAGCTCAGGTGACCAGGTGAAACACGTCCTACAGGTGAGTGAGTTCGAGGCGAGTCTCAAACTGCCAGCGATCGCACTCTGTTGAAACTCTGTCAGAAGCGGCGCTCATTGGACACAGTCGTGTGACGTCACGCTGCACGCTGCATAGACTGTTTTAGTGAAGCCACCTAAAATTCAGGGGATGCTTTGGTACTTTCCAACTGGAGTTTTTGGCCGTTGCACTTTTACATTTAGGCGACTAAATGATCATTTAATCCATTCGAGACAACTTTTGTCGTAATTATTTGTAATATTGTAATGTAATGTAACAATGTAATATTTCTAGCCTGTTCAAAAAGGGCTATTATGTTCTCCGTTCTGAAGAAAAAAAATACAGCCAAAGATGTTTTTCGGACTTCCCCGTTTCAGTACGTTTAACAATGAAACTAAACTGCTGGATTTGTACTTTTTCCTCTTTGGATTTTTAGTTTCGTTTCCAGTTGAACGTAGATTCATTCAGCATGAGGTTCCTGGAGTTGCCGGCAATGCAAAGGAGCAAGTAATGAGAGTCAGAAATATTTTGGGCAAGTCTAGTTTCAAGTTTCAAGTTGTCGAGTTGTGGTGAATGAAGCTCTAGCACTCCCCCTGCTGGTAACATATACAGCCAGCCGGAGATCATCTGTGAAATAAGCGCAAATGTTTCCATTGCATTAGAGTTCTACAGATCTACATTTCCGACAGATCTTATGTTCAGAAGTTATGCTGATTTTGTTCAGAAGCTATGCTGTAGAAGCAGGCTATTCTTCCTCAGATAGAAGGCAAAATAGTCAACAAAACTGTTTGAGTGAGTTTATGACTGCTGAAATAGGTCTTGATTATACCTCAGTAGTCACATTCAGTAGGCTATCTGTCACTTCCACCACCCCATTAAATCATACCTCTCTCTTTACTCATTCTCTCTGTCTGATTGTTTGCACGGGGGCAATGACACGTACAGTACTGCGACTCATTAGCTGCTTTGCCCTAGTTTGCTCTCTCTGAAGTTTCTCTTCCCCTGCTCATTTACCCCCGTCCATCCTTTCTCCATTTCAGTTTTCTTAATTTTTATCTCTTTTCTTTAGACCCTCTCACATTCTTTAGCTTGGGGTGATTAGGAGCTGAGCTGGTAATGGGACTTGGAGGTGCTGATAAGTCTGTTAACTTTAATTAAAGACATTTACGGGGATGTAAAGACATTTAGCTAGAAGCTGAAGACCATTTCTGATTACATCTCTAAATGCTTTTTCTTATGCTCTCTCTCTCTCGTTCTCTGTCTTTTCACAAGCAATTCCCACGGTCTGCTCTTGTCTAACAGTCTGCTATGTCCAGTTTTATGGATGACCAACTTTTCCTATAATTTAGAGTTCAGAAATGAGCATATTTGGTTATTTGTACTTATATGTTCCTTGTTAAAGCCAGAAGCAGAATTATGTGACTGCAGATAAAAGCATTGACTTCTCTCAATATGATTAGCTGCATAGAAATGAGTGTGTGTTCTGTTTTATCGGCCTCCATGTTTGTAATATTGCTTCCGTTTTTCGTTTTTTGTATGTGTGTTGACATTTGTTGTGTTTATCAGCTTCTGTCACATGTTGCTCTCAGCTCTCACATCCCTTTTCCTGCCTTGTCCTTGCGGTCAAATGCAAGAAAATAAGACATATTTTTGCACTTTAATAACAAACTATTAAGAATATGTTGCTTCCTAGCAGCACCATGGGAAAATATTTTCATGCTTTCATACTTTGTTCTGGATCATGTTTCATCATCTCTTCACTCATGGCAGGTATGAATATGAAAATATATATATATATATATATATGTGTGTGTGTGTGTGTGTGTGTGTGTGTGTGCGCGTAATTATTATTATTTTTTTTTTATTCATATTTTAAACGAATAGTTTATCTAAAATATTGATGTGTAGATTAGGTTTTTTTTACACCTTCCAATATTTCTTCACTTTAGGTTGCCTGAAATAAAGTTGGACTTGAAAAGTTAAATTTTCAAGTATAACTAATTGAATAAAATACCGAAAGATCAACTTAGAAGCACTTAAGGGGGATTCTGTGTTATCTAAATGAACCACTGAGACACTAAATTGCATTAGGCTTATATTCATTGGCTGATTAACAGATACGTGCAGCTTACACTACACTGCAGGGGCTTTCAAACTGGGATCTAGAAACCCATAGGGGGCTGCAAAGGGGGATTAATGGGGTCTGCAAAAAAATTGAGAGAAAAAAGATTTTACAAAATTTGTAAAGAATGTAAATGTAAAAAAATTAAAATTTGTCAATGTAAAAAGATAGACTTAATACAAAGTAATTTATTATATTATTATATAATTTTTTTATTAATTTTTAATAATTTTGCTTTCACTTCAGTACAGCATGAAAGGATTATTTCACCTCAACATGAAAAATTGCTGAAAATTTACTCACCTTCATGCCATCCAAGATGTAGATGAGTTTGTCTCTTTATTGGGTGCAGATCTGGATGTGTAATGTAGCATTATATCACTCGCTCACCAATCCTCTGCAGTGAATGGGTGCCGTCAGATTGAGAGTCCAAACAGCTGATAAAAGCATCACAATAAATCCACAAGTAACCAAGTAAGTCGACACAACTCCAGTCCATCAATTAATGTCTTGTGAAGTAAAAGGCTGCACGTTTGTAATTAACAAATACATCATTAAGTCTTTTTAACTTTAAACCATCCCATATAGCCAAAATACAATTCCGTAATAATGCTTGTCCAGTGAAAAAGTCCATCCTCTGTTGTCCTCTCACATAAAAACCCACTGACATATTCGTTTAGAATAGTTATTGAATTGCAATGGTTTGAAATAAATAAATAAAAACATCTTAATGATGTATATTTCAAACATGCAGCTTATTGTGATGTTTTTATCAGCTGTTTGGCCTTGCTTTCTGACGGCACCCATTCACTGCACAGGATCCTTTTGTGAGCAAGTGATGTAATTCTAAATTTCTCCAAATCTGTTCCGATAAAAAAACAAACTCATCTACATCTTGGATGGTGTGAGGGTGAGTACTTTTCAGCAAATGTAAATTTTTGGGTGATATGATACAGTATGTTTGATTTATCTAAATGTAATGCATTTTCAGTAAAATGAGTAAGTGTGTGACTTCTTGTACCTAAAGAATCTGGTTTGTATAGGTGATTTGTGGAATGATGTGGTCATGGTACGTGAGGACACGTCTGTCACCCTGTCCTGCTTTGATTCACCACCCACATCTTCTGTACTGGTTACCTGGAAGATGATGTCAACGAGGGAGGATCGCTGGTCATATTTGTTATCAGCCACCTGCATCGATGGACAAACAGATGGACGCAGCAGCAGAGTATTTGGAGGCAGAACTTTTGAGATCTCTGCCGATGCCTCACTGATCTTCAGAGCCGCAGCAGCTGCGCAAGGACGCTACTCCTGTGTGATAGAGCAGGATGACAAGAAGCTACAAGAGAGGATTGTTCTTCTCGCCCTGATTAAATGTAGACTACACAACTGCACCACAACATGTTCTTCATGTCTCAATGTGTTTGACATCTCCAGGTATTCTCTCCTTCTCTTTTTTGCAGTAACTGTCACTCCCACGCCCCCTGTCACAGTGGACAGTACTCTGAGACTGGCAGCTCAGGTGTCTCCCTCCTCCGTGGTTGCCAAGGGAACGTGGGTGTCTCCCTCGGGTGAACAGCTACACACTGAAATCTCCTATGGAACGGGCAGTCTGCTCAGCAAGCTGCCTCGCGTCACCAGTAAAGACAACGGAGTCTATACCTGCAGAATCCATGTCCATGGTAACAGTGGCAATTCTGTCTCAGAGCACCGGGTGAATGTGACAGTGAACGGTGAGATTTTTAGATATTTTTTGAAAACACAATAATCAGATAAGTTGCTTAGTCAATGTTATCTAATAAACATGATTAAAAGGGCATACTGTAACTGCAGCATGTGCTTATAATAAACAGAACGTTCAAATAGTTAACATATAGTTACCATTCTTGGTGTGAATGGGCCTTTAGGCTTGAATTGTGTCAGGTTTTGATTTACTAAAAATGTAATTTAGTTTGTACAACAGTTAGTTCTGTTCCTTGATTTAATTTGTTGAGAGGCCTCAATTTTTCCTTTCTCTTTGGAGTGTTACAAGTTCTTGGTGCATAAAGAAGATCTGTAAAGTTGCAAAGACTAAAGTCTCAAATCCAAAGAGATATTCTTTATAAAAGTTAAGAGTCAACCACGCCTACCTAAAACGGCTCGTTCAGACACGCCCCCACATGTCTACGTCATGATGTGGGAAGATTTACATAACGCCGCCCAAATGTTCACGCAGCCTTGGGAGAGGATTTGTTAATAGCAGTGATGCGATGCAACTGACAATGGTAGGTCACATGACAATGATATCATGATAAATGTAGTCCTGTATGACTGGATTACGTTTATACTACACAGATTCATACTATATAGGGCATAATTTTTTTTAACTGTCACAAAGTGATGACTTATTTAAAAGAAGTACATACTCAAAGAGTTGTGATTTCACACACAGCCACAGTCTTTATGTGTGAGTCACTGAATCATTCCCTTAACCAGTTTGTCGAAAACACTAATTCAAGATTACACCACTACTGGGTGTTGCTCGCATAAGCGGTGGTTGATGCTTAACTATTGTTTGGAACTATTTTCACTGATGAAAAACAAAAATAGACATAAACTATATTATTGTGTATACATTTTTTTAATTAATATTTAATTCAAACAATGTTGCAGATCTGAGACTACATTCATAAAAAAACAGATAATATCTCAGCCTTATTAAACAACATCTAACTCTCTCTCTGTGTCCCACTCTTTCTTTTTCTCTTTCAGTGAAAGCTGTGTTTTCTTTCACAGACGTGACACATGGTAATATGTTCTTTTGCTACTGGAATACTATTGTATATAAAATGGGACCTTACCTTACTTACCTTGGGAGAGGATTTGTTAATAGCAGTGATGCGATGCAACTGACACTGGTAGGTCACATGACAATGATATGATAAATGTAGTCCTGTATGACTGGATTACGTTTATACTACACAGATTCATACTATATAGGGCATCATTTTTTTTAACTGTCACAAAGTGATGACTTATTTAAAAGAAGTACATACTCAAAGAGTTGTGATTTCACACACAGCCACAGTCTTTATGTGTGAGTCACTGAATCATTCCCTTAACCAGTTTGTCGAAAACACTAATTCAAGATTACACCACTACTGGGTGTTGCTCGCATAAGCGGTGGTTGATGCTTAACTATTGTTTGGAACTATTTTCACTGATGAAAAACAAAAATAGACATAAACTATATTATTGTGTATACATTTTTTTAATTAATATTTAATTCAAACAATGTTGCAGATCTGAGACTACATTCATAAAAAAACAGATAATATCTCAGCCTTATTAAACAACATCTAACTCTCTCTCTGTGTCCCACTCTTTCTTTTTCTCTTTCAGTGAAAGCTGTGTTTTCTTTCACAGACGTGACACATGGTAATATGTTCTTTTGCTACTGGAATACTATTGTATATAAAATGGGACCTTACCTTACTTACATGCCTTTTACCCAGCAGCCTACACTAGTCAATGAATCCTAAACATTCTCCATCAGGCTCTTTTAACTCACTGAATACTGAATTTTTTTCAGTTAACCTCAACATACTTTTTGAATGCTTGAATGATAACACAACATAACTTTTTTAATTTATTTGCCTCAAAACAAACATGGTTTGTTCTTCACAAATGTTGTGTCAGCACACGGTTAATCAGGGTTATTAAATCTGAGAGGAAAATGTTTCTGAAGAGCTTTCGCTGAGTTTAATAACATAGTCCCCATTTTCATGCCTGTCTCGTTTCTGATATCTCCCCATTTGACTTTGCTCTGGGACTTGCAATGTTCTATTCGCTTGACTGTGTGAAGAACAAAAAGAGGCTAAAATGACTAGCAGCACAGTGGATTACTATGTGGACGGGATCAATCCAAATTGACAATACTGCTCTTGTATCACAGTCCATTTTTCCCTTGATTGGCTTCTTTGGTTTCTTTTAATGGTCTTTTGCCTTGCGCTTTTTGTTTCACACTTTCTCTTGTGTTGAATGAATCTCTCGTCTCCCTTGTCACTTTACCTTTCTTTGTAATCTCCACTATCCTGTGTCCTCTACAGGAGACCCAAGGTCTTTGGCAGCCCTCTCTCGTTCACTAGTCACTCTAACATGTCCTTCTGTCCTTGGTGACTATGTGTTGCTCTACTGGGAGTATCCTGATTCAAAAAGAATGGAGCTCATATTCCAGTTTGACAAAACAAAAATAGACATAAACTATATTATTGTGTATACTTTTTTTTATTAATATTTAATTCAAACAATGTTGCAGATCTGAGACTACATTCATAAAAAAACAGAGAATATCTCAGCCTTATTAAACAACATCTAACTCTCTCTCTGTGTCCCACTCTTTCTTTTTCTCTTTCAGTGAAAGCTGTGTTTTCTTTCACAGACGTGACACATGGTAATATGTTCTTTTGCTACTGGAATACTATTGTATATAAAATGGGACCTTACCTTACTTACATGCCTTTTACCCAGCAGCCTACACTAGTCAATGAATCCTAAACATTCTCCATCAGGCTCTTTTAACTCACTGAATACTGAATTTTTTTCAGTTAACCTCAACATACTTTTTGAATGCTTGAATGATAACACAACATAACTTTTTTAATTTATTTGCCTCAAAACAAACATGGTTTGTTCTTCACAAATGTTGTGTCAGCACACGGGAAAAACAAAAATAGACATAAACTATATTATTGTGTATACAATTTTTTTAATTAATATTTAATTCAAACAATGTTGCAGATCTGAGACTACATTCATAAAAAAACAGATAATATCTCAGCCTTATTAAACAACATCTAACTCTCTCTCTGTGTCCCACTCTTTCTTTTTCTCTTTCAGTGAAAGCTGTGTTTTCTTTCACAGACGTGACACATGGTAATATGTTCTTTTGCTACTGGAATACTATTGTATATAAAATGGGACCTTACCTTACTTACATGCCTTTTACCCAGCAGCCTACACTAGTCAATGAATCCTAAACATTCTCCATCAGGCTCTTTTAACTCACTGAATACTGAATTTTTTTCAGTTAACCTCAACATACTTTTTGAATGCTTGAATGATAACACAACATAACTTTTTTAATTTATTTGCCTCAAAACAAACATGGTTTGTTCTTCACAAATGTTGTGTCAGCACACGGTTAATCAGGGTTATTAAATCTGAGAGGAAAATGTTTCTGAAGAGCTTTCGCTGAGTTTAATAACATAGTCCCCATTTTCATGCCTGTCTCGTTTCTGATATCTCCCCATTTGACTTTGCTCTGGGACTTGCAATGTTCTATTCGCTTGACTGTGTGAAGAACAAAAAGAGGCTAAAATGACTAGCAGCACAGTGGATTACTATGTGGACGGGATCAATCCAAATTGACAATACTGCTCTTGTATCACAGTCCATTTTTCCCTTGATTGGCTTCTTTGGTTTCTTTTAATGGTCTTTTGCCTTGCGCTTTTTGTTTCACACTTTCTCTTGTGTTGAATGAATCTCTCGTCTCCCTTGTCACTTTACCTTTCTTTGTAATCTCCACTATCCTGTGTCCTCTACAGGAGACCCAAGGTCTTTGGCAGCCCTCTCTCGTTCACTAGTCACTCTAACATGTCCTTCTGTCCTTGGTGACTATGTGTTGCTCTACTGGGAGTATCCTGATTCAAAAAGAATGGAGCTCATATTCCAGTTTGACCGCTGGAGGCGGAGCTACACCAACCAGACCAAACCCCACCTTCATTTGATAGACCCCGCCTCCCTGGCTGCTGCTGGGAACTTCTCCTTCCTTTTAAGCCCGGCCCTGAAGGATGGAGGACTCTACTTGTGCGAGGTCTTCCTGGATGACAAGGCTTTCAGTCAAGCCAACAGACTCAGTGTTTTACATGGTAATATTAGTTTGTATCTACAGTATGTCACAATAAGTTTTTGACATGATATCTATTATGGTCTCTGGAGTGTGAATACCAATTTATCTCAATCTTCTGTCTGATGTTTCATGTAATTCAGGAAACTCTATAAAATAATTTCAAAACAGAGACCAACATAGCACAGAGTGTGAGATTTTCAATGCCATTTTGTGATATTACAAAGGAATCACTATTATTAAATCATTAAATAACTATTACAAAATTATTTAATAAATGAATTTATTAAATCTACAATATATTCATATTGATATTAAATCTATAATATTATAGTCAGCATGAAATTACAATCATCTTTTCTTCCCTATTGTGATGTATATCTAAGTAAAATAATGTAGAGCAGGAAATTGGATAAATTGTTTTATGAGGGCACATGAATTTAAAAAAAGTTATGTGCACAAATAAATAATTTATGATAAATATTTAAATAAATAAAAAATGTCGCTCAAGTACAATAATTCTATTCGCTTGACTGTGTGAAGAACAAAAAGAGGCTAAAATGACTAGCAGCACAGTGGATTACTATGTGGACGGGATCAATCCAAATTGACAATACTGCTCTTGTATCACAGTCCATTTTTCCCTTGATTGGCTTCTTTGGTTTCTTTTAATGGTCTTTTGCCTTGCGCTTTTTGTTTCACACTTTCTCTTGTGTTGAATGAATCTCTCGTCTCCCTTGTCACTTTACCTTTCTTTGTAATCTCCACTATCCTGTGTCCTCTACAGGAGACCCAAGGTCTTTGGCAGCCCTCTCTCGTTCACTAGTCACTCTAACATGTCCTTCTGTCCTTGGTGACTATGTGTTGCTCTACTGGGAGTATCCTGATTCAAAAAGAATGGAGCTCATATTCCAGTTTGACCGCTGGAGGCGGAGCTACACCAACCAGACCAAACCCCACCTTCATTTGATAAACCCCGCCTCCCTGGCTGCTGCTGGGAACTTCTCCTTCCTTTTAAGCCCGGCCCTGAAGGATGGAGGACTCTACTTGTGCGAGGTCTTCCTGGATGACAAGGCTTTCAGTCAAGCCAACAGACTCAGTGTTTTACATGGTAATATTAGTTTGTATCTACAGTATGTCACAATAAGTTTTTGACATGATATCTATTATGGTCTCTGGAGTGTGAATACCAATTTATCTCAATCTTCTGTCTGATGTTTCATGTAATTCAGGAAACTCTATAAAATAATTTCAAAACAGAGACCAACATAGCACAGAGTGTGAGATTTTCAATGCCATTTTGTGATATTACAAAGGAATCACTATTATTAAATCATTAAATAACTATTACAAAATTATTTAATAAATGAATTTATTAAATCTACAATATATTCATATTGATATTAAATCTATAATATTATAGTCAGCATGAAATTACAATCATCTTTTCTTCCCTATTGTGATGTATATCTAAGTAAAATAATGTAGAGCAGGAAATTGGATAAATTGTTTTATGAGGGCACATGAATTTAAAAAAAGTTATGTGCACAAATAAATAATTTATGATAAATATTTAAATAAATAAAAAATGTCGCTCAAGTACAATAAATGGTGATTGGCTTCCAAACAAATGCAAAACCAACATCAAAGTATCATAAAACTGGTCCATATGATTACCTACAGTTTTCTGCAGTCAGTGATTGAACAGTGATGAACAGAACTACATTAAATTAGTTGTTATTTGTGTTTCATTTTGTTGTTATTTGAGTTAGTTCATTTAGAGTCATGCAGATTTGTGACCAAATAATTCGGACCAGTTTTCTTGACTGAATTAACCAATTCGCTGAAAATACAGAAAAGCTACATTTTTATTTTTCTGTCAACTTTTTCTTTCAAAACATTACAAATAAGTTTTCACGTTTGGCGACCATGATTAAACAGTCATTATCAGACAATGCACATCAGAACACTCATTCACTGATTCTTAATGTTGCATGTTCTTGCATCATTGCTCTTGGATTCATTTTATAATTGCACAGGCTGTTCTATCAATCACAGTAGCTCAGCATGCAAGAGTCAATCAGTCAGTGTCTTGACTTTCATCTTTCTCTCCTGTTTTTAATCTGATCTCCCCTGTTCTTACCTTAATCTCTTTTTCCCCTTATGTCCTCCCCGCTCTCCTTTTTCTCGCTCAGTTCTTTTACTTTTGTCTCTTCTTTCTATATATATCACTCTCCCCTCCCTCTCTCTAACGTAATGTTTTTTAGTAGGCCTCATTACAGATCTCATTATGTGTAATTGCACCTGCCCGTTGCCGCTGACAACTCTGTGGGCTGTGGCATTACTGTGGTAACCACTGAGCTCAATTAGCTCAGGATTGATACTGCTTTGAGTTTGAGGAGACACTGTGCATCAGTCACAGTCAAGCACAGCTGACCGACTACACCCGGCTGTTTAATGAATATATATCATTTTAACCCTTCGCATTCATTTCGCCTCTCTCATCATCTGTTTGTGTGTTTCACTCTCAGGATACACCAAGTCATCCCGCACCGCTCTGGATCTGAGTTGTATGTACTCTGAGCGATCTCAAGTCAAAACTGTGAGGTGGTCGTATGTTAAGAATCCCACTCGCTCTCTGCAATCAGCTGCAGTTTTGGGCCGGATCACAACATCTGTAGCGCTCCCTGTGACCCCAGAGACGGCAGGACAGTATGCCTGTACTCTGTATCTGAAAAATGGAAACTCAGTGCAATATATGTACACCGTCACAATGGTCAATATAGGTGGGGAAAAGTGTATTCTGTTCTTCTCTCTCTGTCTGGCACTTTTTCTTGCTATTTATTTCTTGCTGTAAATTCTTTAAGTCAAGGTGTCAACACTCACATTTAAAAACCTGAAAATGGCCAGACTGCAGGTGAATATTTATTCCAGTGAGTTATTTTTGTTCTGTGTGATAGACCTTCTGTGTTTCATTGAATTTAATGAATCAATGACGAGAATATTAGTTAGTGGAATCATGTAGGTCACCAGGGAGGTCACATAGCATAATGCAGCACAATCATGTGCTAGTCCCTTGACCAATCAATTACATGAAACCCAACTCCATCATAATGGATTGTTTAAAACATGGCTAGTGAGTCTCTGGAGCAGCAGGGTGCAGAAAATAGACCTTGTGCACAGATCTGCTTTTGAAAAAGGATTGTTGCCTCTATGACGTTGATTTAAAGGGATAGTTCACACAAAAATGTAAAATTCTGTCATCATTAACTTATCCTCATAAAATTAGAAATGTTCAAGAATGTACTGGTAGCTCAGAACTAGAGGTGCATTTTTAAAAGTGTTTTAAAAGTGTTGAGTGCTGCATTTTTAGAACTCTGTGTCATGTGCAAGACACTGCAAAAGATATGAGACACAAGTGCAACATTCAAAACACATCCATCCAGCGCATGCTTACATAGAAAACAATGGAAAAGCAGCACAGTGTAAATTAAAAAAACATGAAACGCAGGGGACTGGAAAAAACATTGCAAGAAAACGGCTATAGATGCAGTTTTTAACAGTTGAACTTTTAACTTGAGTGCTGCATTTTTAGAATGCCATGTCATACGTGAGACGCTTCAAAAGACACAAGACAAAATAGTAATAATCAGACATGTCTAGTGCAAGTTTACAGTACACAGAAAAACTGGAAAAGTGGAAAGCCAAAAAAAAAAAAGTTTTCTGTTTGAATGGCCCCTAGACTGGTCGATAAAAGTCTTCTCAAGTTATAGCTTTGTCTGAGGAACAGCCACTTTAACATTTGCCCTAGCTCTCCTTAGTGAATTAGCTATGTCAGACTTGTGAATGAATCATTCTTTTGTGTCAGACCTTTAAAATCAATCAACTAAACTTCACAAAACCATTTCAAATGACTTATTCCCAAATCTGACATCCATGCTTTTGTCATTTAATTTATCAAAGAGAGAAAGAGCAGATGCCAATATTTTCAGTAAATTACTTAAATCGTGAATCCTGACAAAAATTCAATTTCTCGGTTCAGATGCAAAAAAAAAATAATAATCACATATTTAAAAAAAAATATATATTTTTTACATAGTTATTAATTTTTTTCCTGGAGTTTAAATCATGATTAACGGGTATTTCAAAGACAGCAGTGTCATCAAATATATAACATGCAGATAACAATGAGACTGAGACTAGATAAGAACGGCACCATTCAATGTTTGCCTGAATGATGTCACCTCACCATATGCAAAACATTCAGTCAAAAACATATTTTGTTTATTTCTCTTCCACATCCTCCATATATCTTCATATTTTCAATTCACACATTCAGGGATATTTAAATACTCATTACTTCATGTCTACTGCTGGTATCCTTTGTTTCTTCCGTCTTCCACTCTGCGTTTGCATCTAAAGTTACATACACTGTCCCACTATTTATTTATTTAGTTAGTTACTTACTTAAGTATATATTTTATTTTTCGTGGAATTAATGAATTAATTTCTAACCATTCCTGTCTACTCTTTCATTGCAGATCCAACCATTTCTCCAGGCCCTGCACTGCCACCTGCAGGTGAGTGTCGCTGTACACACACACACACACACACACACACACTTCTGCACACTCACTGATGGGTAACCTAACTTAGCGTTTCTTTTTCTGTCTTTCTCACACTCCCCCCAGCAGATGTTTCAGCATCCTCTTATGTTTCCACCTTCTCATTCCTCCTATTTCTGATCCCCCTGATTGCCGTAGCTGTTGGGGTGTTGCTATGGAGACAGGGCTATTGCGTCACCGGTCGAAGTAAGGCCCCGCATTTGTCTTTTCTCCCCTGAGTCTGTCCATCAGAGATCTGAAGGCTGTCAGTTCACCCTGGCAGATGTTGATGGACAGAACAAACCACATTGGATTTGGTGTGATGTGATGTGAAACCCTCATGTGTCTGTGTTCATGTAGGTGTCGAGCAATCGCTGTCTCACCACTCCAGAGAGGTGGAGAACATCTATGAAAATCCTGATGATCTAAGACAGGTGAATTGTAATGCACAGCATCTATTTTCTCTCCTTCTCCCCCCTGCTGTATTATTAAATCTATTTTTACTACCCCTTCTTTCTTTCTTTCATTCTCTCTCTCGCTCCCTCTCCTTGTCTTTCTTTCTCAATGTATATCTATCTCTGCTCTATTATTAAATCTATTTCTTCCTTCCCCTTTCTCTCCCTCTCTTCTCCCAGCAGACACCTCCCCAAGGCGCAGTCTACATGGTGAGTTATTATAGTCCTTCACAGGCAGAGCAATGAGTAATTGTGTGTGTGTGTGTGTCTTCCAAAAACCAGGTCCCAACATTTTACAGTCTGTTTGACAGTGTGTGTGTGTGTGTGTGTATGTGTGTTTCCTCCCAGTTCTGTCACGCCTGCATTAGTGATATTACCAGATGAACCGAATCAAACTTCTGCCAAACTATAAATCTGAGACGTCTCTGCCCTTCTCATCCTTGTCTCTGTTTGTCTCTCTCTCTCTAGGATCTCAAGCCAACGGGTGAAACGGATGTATATAAAGAATTAGATAGGTGAGACATGATTGGCTGTGGGTCATGTGGGGGACAGTGCAGGCGTGTCATTGTTCATGTGCTCTTTGTGCATTAATCGTCCTGATAATGTCTTCCTTCTCTATGTGTGTGTGTTTCATTTCAGATACAACCAGTGCTGTGGTTGAGTTTATTAAACATATATAACGTATGTCGAGATAAAATAACTGTATTTGAAATAAAACTTAATGTAATATGTGACTTGTGTCTTAACTTATGAGAGTTAACTGTTCTTGTTACTTGTATGACACTCCTTCAAAAATTGTTATAAGTTTTCAGAGACTTTTTCTCATTTCATCTTTTCTTTCTTTTTCTTATCTTTTTTGATAGCAGTTTTATTGTAATGTCAATAATAGTGCACTTTAAGAAAAATATGTGGGGGGATATAAGGGTAAAATAAGGATATTTTCAGTTAAGTTTACAGCCATTTCTTTTAACCCCGAAACACAACACAATACAATGCAATTCAAAATATGTGGAAAACACCTTTGAAAATGTCTGTAAATGTAAAACTATGGTTACCTTTTGAAGCATAATAAACATAGGTGCATTGTTATGGAGGACGAAACCTGCAAAAACTATAAATAAATAAATAAATAAAAATGCAAATAAATAAATAAATGTCTGTATAAATACACAAATTCTTGTTTAAATACATATAGAAATAATTAAACGTGATTAAAGTAGGCAAATAAATAAAATAAATTAGTGAACAAATGGAAAATGTTTAAGGAAATGCTAAACTCATCCTATTTATTTTTCTTTGATCACTCATTTATTTCTGAATGTAGTTCCACATTTATTTTTCCTCTGCGCAACATGCTAATGAGAGGGTGTCAACCATTGACTTGGTCGGGGTCATGTGATAGCTGGGGGCGCGGCATAGGGAAAACAATCCTTTCCCGCTGACAGGAGATGCATGGTGTTAATCCAGTATAGCCTAGTAAAGTCACTTTTTCCGTTTAACAGAGCAAGATACATAAAAAACTGAGCTGTATTGTCCGTACAGTATCTGTGACTTTACAAATGACCCAAAGAAATGGCCAGTGTCGTTTCCTGACTTCATTTTTTGTAACCCGACTGAGTCTCCAGCTAGAGACAACTCTAATATCAGTGTCCCATGGTCATCGTGAGATGACTGGTATGAAGTGGTTTAATCGAGGAACAGACAGTTTTTTTCCATTAGTTATCAGAACAGAAAATACAGGCGACAAAAGTATGTTTATTAAGCAAATAACGGTTCAGTATTGCAATTAAGAGCTATGTAAGCATTCATATTTTACATTGGCCACTTTTATGATTTAGCTCTCTCATGATTATAACTACAAAACTAGCCCTATGAAAAAGTGTAAGATAATACACTTTTTCACAGATAATTTATTTTTGCAGGTTTCGGCCTCCATACATTGTGTCTCGTAAAGTTACATTAAACTCATATAGCAACTGATAATTTATGGAGGACGAAACCTGCAAAAACAATAAATAAATAAATACACAAATAAATAAATAAATGTGTGCATAAATACACGTATTCTTGTTTAAATACATAAATAAATAATTAAAC